ATAATATATATTTATTTAAAAAAAGTTTATAAATTTCGTTAAATTCTTGTTAAGTTATCAGTGTTCAAAATTAAAAAAAAATATATTTGCTTGATTTCACATCTATACAATTTATATTTGTTATGTTAAAACGGCTAATTTTATTTAATTCATTTTAATATTGAAACAACCAAAAATATGCGAAGGACTTACGGCAATCCCACCGATCCATGACGAGTTATTTGCAAAAATTTCAACAAGCTATCACTTAAATAACGAACGATGAGAAAAATATTTAGGAGACAGCATACTCACATCTTGTTTTCTAAGATTCGGGTGAACTCGCTCTGGAACATCGTCGAAGTAATGAAACGTATGCCATTAAGCATATACAAAATAATATCATTTGGAGAGGGGAAAATAGAGTATAGGTACATAGATATGATAAGTTAGATTTGAAAGGTTTGATTTTGACGGAAAGTATAATATTTTGCAGCACTATATGATGCACCATCTTCATATATTTCCGTAGGTGCAGCTTTATATGTTATGTATGATTTGTTGACTTTGTAATAATATATCTGATATATTTTTCGAGTGTTGAGCTCAGAATAACGATGCTAAAGTTAAACCGCTCGATAACTAATTTTCATTTGCGAATATATGTAAATGACATACACAATTATATCTTCCATTATATAAAATGTTTCAAATATGCTACAATAATAATAAGTATGGTATAAAAAATTCAGTTTGTTAATACAGACACGTACCAATATTAAATGAAACTTTTACGTATAACAGAATTAAAAATACAAATTTTTGTTGAAAATTTATACACGGCTAAGCTTGTAATTTCTTTAAAAAAATTGTCATAGATTCTCCATAAATATATATTCTTAAGAATACCAGTCACATCCAGCAGTTAAGTAAAGCAGACTATACTTACCTTTATAAAAGTGATAGCTTGGGATAAATACTCTAAAATTTATAAATACAGATTTCAAGAATAAATCACACTTCCTATATGACCTAACCTTCTATTATTAAATTACGTCTTTGAAATTGAACCTTCTTGTACGAAAGAAATTCACTTCACCGACAATATCTACCAATCATATGTTGGGGTTTGGATAAAGCTATAAGAAACTTGTCGAAGTACCGTCAATAAACCGACATGAGCTCCTGTATGTGTATTGAGTGTTAATAATTCTAGGCAGATGTAATTTAACGAGAGGCAATTATATCAATAATAAACTACCCGTGCAAAATTCTTTTTTTTTTTAAAAAAAAAAAATAATTAGATAATATTATTATTTCGAATTTCTGAAATAATTGAGAGGTATAATAGATAGAAAAATTCAACAGATTTGAAGGGAAAATAAGACATGAAAATTTGGTATAAAAAATAAATGCAAATAATTAACAAATTTACCTTTTAACATGTCTTTACTTGAAGCAATTAATAACATTAAATATTATGCACTTAAAAATTTTGAGTCATCCCGAATATTATTTAATAAAGGAGTAGAAAAATGAAGTTGAATAATCTTCAAAAGGTCATACATTATATATTTTACAGTAAAAATTGCTCTAATTCCATTTAGGGAGAATAAGCAATAATGATGATTTTACAAATGTAGTACGCTAAAAAAATTTTGAAGCTTGTTTCCAGAACATAACTTATGAAATATCTAATAATAACAAAATTTCGTAATATTTATAAGATTACATACATGCTAATATAATTTTACTGAATAATCCTACATAATATGTAAATTATAATATTATAGAATTATAGAAAAAAATTAAGAGATTAAATCATTGGCATTTCTTATCGTCATATTCCGTTCCTGAAATTCTACACATTTTAATTTTAAATGTTCTAATTCCGATAGAAATATGGTTAATTTCTGATTAATTAACAATCACGGTAAATGTGACAATGAACTTACCATCTGAATTAAATTGTATTTTTAAATGTCCTAATCATTAGTTTCATTATCAACTTGATAAAAGAACGTGGCGATTTGATAGAAATTTTAACATAAAAATGATTAAAAATCATCAAGAAAATAAAATTATTATATTTAAATAAATCCATTGCAAAAAGATGCTTACCAGTGTCGGGAAGAACTAGGAACTCCAGCTGAGAATCTAAATAGGCATATAAAAGTATCAGCTCAATACTGATTCTCTCATTATAGCACTTTATAAAACTTACCTTTCGTCGGTAGAGGTGGCCTTTTATCTCTTTTTTTGTTATCTGTAGCTATTAGAAACATATGAAAAATTAGATCGGAAAAAACCACTAACTTAATAAGATACATATATATATAAAAAAGCTACAATTTACAATCATTATAATTTTTTGGGGTAGGCTTCGGAAGAGTAATCTTGCCAGAAAGAACGTCACCTACAGTAACAGGTCTATTAATGACAAGCTCTTCTTCACTGCTCTTTTGTTCTTCGCTATTAACGACATCATTAATAACAACTTCATTAAATTCTGGATTTATTTGCTCCTTTCCAGAAGATCCTAACTGTTGTGAATTATTTGGCGGTAAATCATTCTTAGGGGTCTGCTCGGTCTCTTTTTCATCAGGATTCATTCTTGAGAATTGATTTTAAAAATTGAATCCGAAAAGAGCGCAAAAACAAGAATTAATTTTTTTGTCTTGATAAGATTGTTTATTTTTGTACACGAAGTCCTACGTACCGTCTTTTGACACAACAACAAAACATTTAACCAATATAATGGAAGAGATCAAAATTTACATATAATGTACAATTAAGTTATATCGATATGAGCAAATCCGAATTAACTAAATTTGGTACAATCATACAGAAAAAAGGGCGCGAGAAAAGCCACAAGTACAAAATAATTAGGGTTGCCACATCTTTGTCATCCTAAACTGGGACATTACCGTAATACAATTGCTACGCAATAATTAATTTGAAACTATCAGGTGGTAAATTGTATATTGACATACATCTAATTAGACCATTTAAAGTAAAAAATTAAAGCCTCGGCATTATGCAAATAAAACATGAATAATACGTTATAATTGTGGCTCAAATTTTAATGTTATTAACAAGGATTTTATGGTTTAAGAAATTCTTGGCAAGACATATTAAAAATTCGATCGCTTTAGTAGTTTCTTTTTATAAATGTATTACAAGTAGAGATGCAGAAATGGCTCTGTAAGCCGATCCGCTAAGCCTAGTTAATTGACAGCTCTGCTAACAAAAGCTCGTGTGACATTGAGTCGTAAGCAGATCATAAAGTCCATTGTTCGAAATCCAACAGGTTGGTTAGATAGACCTGTATACTAGTGCCCTGCCAGGACTAAACTTATCGGGATTTTAACAGGATCTATTTAAATGTACCGGTGTTACCGATACAGCAATATTAGAGGGCGCAACTAGATGAATTTTGACCTTAAAATCCTTCAAGTTTATTTATTTATTTGAACCTTTTTTTCAATAAATTTTCTTTTAGAAGTTTTTGGGAGCATTTTTGATATTTTTTTTTTTCTTCAAACAACCTTGAGAACTTATTCACAAACTGTAAACTTGAACTAAAATTGTATAAATAACGAACTGTGTAATTTATAATTTATATACCTATTTGCGCGTAAATACCCCCCTGCGCGCTATTTTGAAGTGCGCATGCGCCTTATTTTGAGCAAGAATATAATTGTTTTTTCTTTAAAATCTCGTAACACATGGGCGCTATTATAATAACTAAATTAGCAACAGGTTTTTAAAGTCAAGCTATTAGAAATACATTTTGTCTCTCATCGAGGGGTGTCACAAATGAAAACAACTGGGTATTCAATCCCTTCCGCTTTCGTGAAGCACCTACTAACTGTGCAGAATCGGGAGTATCGAATGGACAACCTACTGTTCATCATGGGTGTTATTACGACAGCTACTTGGAAAAAAAACCGCTGATTACCATGTAAACCAAAAACTAGATTAGTGCTATGTACTCAAATACGAGAAAATTGCTTCATGGCTGTCGTCCCAGTAGGCCACTTCTGCTTCAAAAATTCCAAACTATGACTGTCGTCAAACAGGCCATAATCTCTCTTAAATAAATAAGCAATGACTGTCGTACCGACTAGGGCTGTTTGAGTGGTCCGACTCAAACCGATAGACCGCCAGTCGTCCTAGGACCGGGCCAGTCCTGTCTTTTTTGGAACGGACTGAAAAGACCGTCGGTTCTGATAAAATATGAGTGCCGCCAAGGAAAATCTGTCATCGGGCTTCAATTATATTTTGCACTGGACAAAATCTATTTGATTTCTTAGGGAATATGTCCAGTACAAAATATAATTGAAAGCCCGATGACAGATTTTCCCTTGGCGGCACTCATATAATCTGATTCTGCGATTTTTGCGATACTTGATCTGATATATTAA